CCCTGCAGGGACCCGCAGCGCGGGTTATGCTGGGGGCTCGGATCGCCGTGGCAAGTTGGACACTCAGGACAGCGCCATGGGGGACTTGCAGGTGGGTCTCTCCTACCTAGAGGCTCTGTGGGGGGGACACGGCCCTGGACTCCACTTCCATGGGGGCTTGAAGAGTCCCTCACCGCACAGTCTCGTGGGCCTCTTCCCACAGGAGGATTACGAGGAGGTGCTGGAGGAAATTCTGGAGCAGGAGGAGTATGAAGACCCGGGCATTCCCGTGTCCCAGGTGGAAGAGCCCACTGGTAAGCTACATCCCTGCCCCTGCCAGGATGAGCAGCTGTGCCAGGACAGGGACAGCAAGGGGACTTGTCCTCCCCTTCCCAGTCTTCCCCCTGCGGCCCCCTGGCCAGCTCTCCCCATGATTCTGGCTGATTGAAGGTTAAACAGAGTTTTGTTTGAAATGATCACAGGTGGTGCCTGCGGGGGGGCAAGGGGGGGTGCGGGGCAGTCACCCATCGAAGCGCCTCTTGGATGTGAGCGGGCAGCCAGGCCGTCTGGGACAAGGGCCTGTGCCCATCCAATGCCCGCTGCTAGGCCAGGCACTGGGCCCGTGTTTGGGAACCAGAGGTCCTGAGAACTGTGGGGTCTGTGGGGACCCCAGGGAGAAAAGACACCAGGAGTTGGGCCACCTTCCTTGGCCTACCCAAGGTCTTAGGTGGGGAGCCCCAGGCAGGGGCATGTTTACTGTCAATAGGACTTAAGTGCCAGCGATTGGCACTGCAAGTTAGGAGGCCCCCTGGGAAGTGAGGACTGGGGGGGGTTTGTGGCAGGGACATATAAGAGCAGACCCCACCCTGGTCCCGAGTGTAACTTGGAGCCTGAGAAGCCACCAGCTGGCGGACTTGTTGGGGCAAGTGGGAAGGGAGTCTGGCCCTAGAGGTGGCAGGAGGGGAGAGGACCCTAGCAGGGTCTTCCCAGTCACCCAGCCCCTTCCCTTCATACCCGTGGAGGGCTCAGCCTCCCCAGCAGAGTCTCAGGGTCCTCACCAAGGCTCGGATGGGCAGTGCCAGGCTGGTCTGGAGCCAGCATGGGAGCCCTCTCCACTGAGTGGCAGGTGGCATGGGGCACAACAGGAAGACGTGGGACCTCGGGTGGGTGGTCAGGGCAGCACTAACCAGTCTCTGGGTTTTCAGCTCACCCTGAGGAACCGACAGCCACAGACTACCATACCACCTTGCACCCAGGCACCCACGAGGTGAGCACTCAGCCTTCTGGTTCCCTCCCAGGCTGTCTCTGCGACCCGCCATTCTCCCAGGAGGAAGAAGCGAGGGGCAGAGGCAACTTCAGGCCAGGGGAGACCCCACCAACAGCAAAGAAGGAGCAGGGGTCCCGGGGGAAAAAGGTGTAAGGGAAGAGGACATTCCCGCCGTGGGAAGCGCTGGGCCCCCTTCCTGGAGTTCCCTGGGCAGAGATGACCTCCTGCTGGGGCCAAATCCCCAGGCCTGGGTCCAGTGGGGCATCAGGTGCTCACTGGAGAAGTGCAGAATCAGAGGTGGGCTCTCCTCTCTCCAAGCCCTCCAGATCCCTGCTAGGCGCCAGCCTGTCTAGCTAGTTGGGAATTTGGGCTGGCCCTCAGCTGTGGCCCTGGGAGTGGCCCCCAGCACACGCTGGACTCAGGACATGGTGGGACACACATCCACTCCACAATCCTGGAGGCAGGAGACTGACCCCAGGACTCCAGAGCCACCAGGCCCCCGCTTCCCATTCCCCAGTGACTTCTGCAGCACCCCTTTGGGTTTGCAGGGTTTCGGATGCCCTCTGAAACGGGGCGAGGGCCTGGCAGGAGGTTGGAGTTAGAGCTGGCTGTGTGAGCTGTACCCACAGGACCCTGAGCATTTCCTGCACCCTGAGTTCTGGGTCTGCCCTGGCCTTCCAGGACCCTGGGCCTCTTACAAGCCTCTCTTTTTGTTGTTTTTTGTTGTTGTTGTTTTTTTGAGTTGGAGTCTCACTCTGTCGCCCAGGCTGGAGTGCAGTGGCCACTCCCGGC